TTTTCTTCCTTGCCCGAATCACTACACTTGCTTACAAATATACAAATATATATACACTAATAAACTCTCCTCTCCTTTATGGAGTTTTTCCTTCTTTTCTTTTTCCCTTCATTTTTTTTTCTTTTCTCTCCTCTGGGTTTTTTTTTGTTTTTTTTCTTTATCTTTTTATTTATTTATTCATATTTTTTCCTTTCTTCTTCTTTAATTTTTGTAATTACTATTCACATACCAAACTATGTTAATGGGAGGTTACCAACAATCAACTTACAACAATACCACACTAGGTGCCTTCATTAGCAAACCGAAAGAATAAAACAGCTTTAAACCATAGCGTTAAGACATAACGTAGGTGGCACCAAGGAGGGGAGAGGGCACCGGAAGGAAACTAGGACCTTTGCGACAACTAGTGTTCAGATTGATTAACAACATAGGTCTTTCCAGATGTCAGCATCTATCACCCATAATTCATCATTGCCCCATCAGGGTGCCCCCCTAATTTATCCTGGCATATGATCTGAGCCAAACGCCAATATGCAATTGAGTATTAGCACTAATGTAAAACAGCGGTAAGATATCTTTTGGCTCCTCAGTATTCTGGTAGTGTTCACAATCTCCTTTCTCCTCGCCATAGTAAGGGTTGACAGGTCTACGAACATCAGTGAAATTTTGCTATTACAATGACCTATCAAATGATTGCAACTCCCATCACACATCCCCTTGACACCCCACTCCCATCACTGTGGCCCACTTCCTCCACAGGCCTAGCTTTATTGACTGTACCCCAAATCAGGTCACACTCACACCTGAAACATGTCCTGTACACATTAAACAATACCCTTTGTCACTAGAGAACGAAAAGGGAATTGCCCAGAAGCTGTTGAAAAAGGACATTATTTCTCCCACTCACTCCTTCTGGAATACACCAATTAACCCAGTCTCGAAATTAGGCAGCAAGGATTACAGATTCAAACACATAGATCTGAGGACAGTAAATGCCCTAGTGCAACTTTGGCCCTCATTGTTCCAGATGTTGACTCCATCATCACTGCCATTCCTCAAGATTCCACTCACTATAGTATTATTGACCTTTGCAGTGCTTTCTTCAGCATCCCGGGTCACCCTGCTACTAAGCCCATATTTGCTTTCATGTATAAAGAGAGTCAGTATACATGCAATTGCCTCAAGGCTTCTGTGACTCCCCAACAGCATTCTGTGCCATGGTATGCCTTACCCTGCAACCATGGACTCCTGGTTGCGGCTCCACTCTCCTCCAGTACATGGATGATCTCCTGTGCAGCCCAGCCTCCAAGTCTGTCAGGAGGACACACTGTCTTTGCTGACTCATCTGGGGAGGCAGAATTGTTGATTCACCTGTAAGAGACCGGTAGTCACAAGGTCTCTTACAAGACTCTACAATTCTGCCTCCCCAAAGTTAAACAACTGGGTTTCCTTTCTCACCCAGGGAGAACAGGTCCTTGCTCCAGACAAGTGTTCAGTCTATAATGCAACTACCTACACCCCACAACAAAGCTGCCATGCTGTCATTTCTAGGGATGGTTACCAACTGCAGACAATGGATACCTGACTCTATGACCACATCCTCAGGGCCACTAAACTACAAGAGACCTCAGAGACTATTCAATGGACACATAACTGCCCCAGCACTGGGACTGCCAAAATACCACAAGCCTTTTCTCCTATCATGCACTGAGAGTGGGGTGACTGCAGGTGGAGTTCTGGCACAGGAACATGGCATGGGATAACATCCTGCTGCTAATTACTCAAAAGTGTTACCTATGCTTGTACAGGAAATGCCTGTCTGTCTGAGGGTTGTTGCTGCAAATAGTTGAGGTTGCACAAACAATAGTATTACCACACACATTTATCTCACAAACCTCACACCAGGTGATACAAGTCCTCAATAACACAACAAATTAATGCACAAAGGTGGTCTGGTTATGAAACCATTTTTACATCTACTCAAGGCCTTACAATCAAATATTCTTCTCCTTCTTCATGTCCAGCTGTACTCCTACAGAAACGAATTTCCACACATGATACTGACGTTGAGGAAGACCACAATGGGTAAGATGCTAAAAAGACTGAAGCATCACACAGAGCTGACTTGACTGACGTCCCTTCACTTTACGGTGATGCAGTCTTTGTGGACAGATCATGTAGCAGCCCCCCTGAACATAATAGTGCAAATAAGTTTGGGAAATATTAGCAGATATTGGAGTAATATGTACCACTCACAATGATAAAACCAAAATGTCCCAATACATCTATTGTGTATTGTGTTTTATGTTCTCACATGCCATGAACAACCCAGTTGGCATCAACTATGGCAAGCATGATCATTCACCTCAACCAGATTGGCCCATGCAACATCTGCAGATTGATTTTACACACATGCTTAAGGCTAAAGTTGGGTATCAGTATCTATTGGCCATTGTTGATCAATTTAGTAAGTGGCCTGAAGCCTTTCCCTGAAGGAGGGAAACCACAAAATAGATGCTGTGTAAAGACATTATACCAAGGCTTGGTTGCCCTCTACAAATAAACAGTGATAAGGGCACTCCCTTTGCATCCCAGTTGACACTGCACATCAGTAAGATGTTTTGCAGTTATTGGAAGTTCCATGTTCCATATCATCCTCAATCATCAGGACCATTAGAGAATAACAACAGAACCATTAAGGACAAGTTGGGGAAGGGTACCAATGGTACTTTTCATATTTCTCCTGATAATCTTCCTGCAGTATTGGCAGAAACCAGGATTACATCTAACAAGACAACAGGCTTGTCCCCATTTGTAATACCAAGGGGGTAACTAGAAACACTAGGGCCCTGGTGCAGGAATCTGTGAATGAACCCCTGTCACGGCAAGGGTGTATAATTTATTATTACACTATGGAATATCATCTTTTAATGTAATTTGTGTAGTAAATGGCACAAATTACAGAGATGCTATTGCTGAGGTCAACAGGGGTTACATCTTTTGAAGCTCGGACCCCCACAGAGGTCAGATGAGAGAAGGTGTAGTGTGAATGGCATAGCAATGTGAAAAGGATTTTACTATATGGGTGTGAAGTAATCAAGGATCTGCAAGGTGTGAGGTTCTACACTTGGGAAAAGTCTGAATGTCTCTTCATCCATTTGGCATGTACCTTGTAAAGGATAGTGCAATCATTTGAAATGGTAATGGGATTCGTTTCATGAAGATCCTTGTGTTCCAGTATCTTATCCAAGTGAAACATTCATACTTACCCACAGGTTAATAATTAAGCCTTATTTTTATTATATTTGGAATGGGACACGCCCAGTCTTTTAATTAAGCCTAAACATGAGTTGCACAACTTAAACCGTGTGGCAGGTCCTATTGGATCGTGGGTGGGGCGTGCAACATGTCTTTGGAATGGGAAAACAATTACAAATTTAAAGAGGCAATTATTATTTCTGTGGCAAGTACAGTAGAGGAGATAAAACCAAAAGTTTGTATGTGACATGTTGTTTTCTGGAACAAAGGAGGTGGTCACTTAGTATCCACCCCTGGATGAGGCATGGCAATTCACAGGGTATATCTCCTGTGATTCTGAAGGGTGTTTGTGTACTTGCTTGGGGCCAAGATCTAATTTTGAGTGAGTCACCATCTTTCCTTGCCAGAGACCCCCTGGACAGAAGTTGTACTTTGAAAAAACCTAAGTGAGTAATTAGGACTTCTGTATTTTATCCTTTTTGTTTTTATCTGTTGTTGGTGTAAATAATTTGTTTATCATATATTTTTATATGCACTGTGACTATCTTTTGCTCATAATAAACATTCATTTAAGTTTTGCCTTTGTCTGGTTAAGAATCACGTTACCTGAAGAGACTAGTTAGTATTTTTGTAATTCCTTAAATATTGTGCTAAGTAATATTTGGTGGGTTTTATTATTGATTTACCTGGGGGACCAAGGTACCCCATTTATAAATTGTCTTGGTGGTGGCAGTGTTAAACTAGTAATAGTTTTAGTATTATGTTTAAGTGTGGGTGGGGTTAAAGGGGGATTTTGTCGTTATTTCCGGTCTAGTGCAGACAAATAGTGAACTTTAACCCTTTCACCACCACAACTACGTCAAGCGCACTCTTGGAGTAGGGTGTGTTCGTGACACCCCCCACCACCACCCAAATCCCATGATGCCTTGAAGGCTATGGATGATGCTTTGAAGGCTATATAATCATCCTTGCAGAGTTCTATTTGCATGCATTATCTCTAAATGTGTTTGTGTTTATATATGGAGTATATTTGTGTGGTTATTTGTATATAATGCTGTTTAAATGCAGGGGATCTGTTTTGTGTAGTTTTGGCATTTAAATCAGGGGTGTGTGCAGTGTTGGTGTTTAAATGCAAGTTTATGTGCAGTTAGTGTATGAATGCAGTGGTGTGCTTGTCTGTAACATTTTCATGTGAATGCAGGGCTGTGTTTGTGTGTAGTTTTGGCATTTAAAAGCAGGACTGTTTTAGAATATAGTGTTGGTGTTTGAATGCAGGGGTGTGTTTGTGTGTAATATTGGTTATTGCATACAAATGTGTATTCACAAATACATATGCACTGCCACACACACATACAGGGACCCATTACCGTACACAGAAACACACATACACTGCCACAAAGACATATATACATATGGGTATACTACGAGAGATATGCACAAACAATTAGACGCACATACACAGTAACACTGATACATACATGCAAGATTCACGTACACAGATCCACATGTACTGATACATACACTGACACACACAAACACTGACACACATGCAGATATTTATACTGAAACACACACAAACTGACACACATAAAGATACATACACTGACACACACGCAGTTGCACACACTGACACACATAGATACATGATGAGTGGCCGTGCAAGGAGGCCGGACAGTACAAGCTGGGGTTCATTGTGGTTTGGAACCACGAGGAGAGCAAGTTTACCTCACCTCATTTGACAGTGCAGCAACAGAGCCGGTGGGAGAAGAACGAGGAGCAGAGCTCCTGGGCCGGCTTGTACTTTGTGGAGGATCTGCAGCACATCCACCGGCAGGTGAGCTTGGTCTGCAGCCAGCTGGAGCCCTGCTTTCCCTGCCTGTCCTCATCAGACAGCCCTCCTGTAGATGCTGCTCCTCTACAAGACCCAGTCCTGGAAGGGCTGCCAGAAGGAGCTGGACGCCATAAGCTGGGCCCTGGAGCTGTACCTATGGCCAGAGGATCTTGCTGGAGCTGCTCTTCACCGAGTGACCAATACTCTGCAAGAAGAGCAAGTAGTAGCTGCGCAGGGGGTGGAGCACGCAGGGGCCACTACAGGGGCAGTGATCACAGCATGTAGGTCCTCATCATGTAGGCAGCACTGGATACTCTGAGAGGCATCGCAGGGTTTGACAGGGCAGCCGGGTCCCCTGGAGGGATGGGCCTGGTTGCACCTAAGACCCCTGCGACCACTATTATTATGTCACTGGGGAACACAATTTCCCACTCCCTGGTCAAGTAAGGGAATGATTTAGGAAGTCAATGTGGTAAGAATGGAATATGTTGCTAATCTGGTGTGCAAGCAGAACATTTCAGGTTTGAGACTTCTTTTTTCATGGGGGCAAGAGTGCAAATTTTTTACATTTCTCTTCAATTTTGGGTTGAATATCACTTGTAGGAGACCAGTTAGGAAACTGCAACTTTCTCAGGTTACAGAGCTGGGGCTAGTAAAAATCTTGGGAAATTCTTATTTTATTTATGCATTTTTCTAAGTGAACAAATGTAATATAAGCATGGAAAAAAGGTAAGTGAAACCTTTTTCAATTTGTATTTAGATTTGCCGGGGATGATATGATGCTAAACATATAGATATGCACTGATACTCATTGATCCCTCTGTATATCTGCATGGGGACTATAAATAACAGCCACTACTACCATTTTCTGCATTGTACATCAGCCTTTGTAGATCAAACTTCATGGATGAAAGAATGGGGTAGTGGTAGTGTTCAACAACAACAACAAAAATTCAAAATAATATGGAAAATGTGCTAAGTTGCCAATCAGACAGCCAGTTGTCAATCAGACAGCCAGGAGGGGCTTTTCAGCAAATACACCCTGCAGCCTAATGCTTTCGACATGAAATCTTTAGTATTGGTGGTCTTCTTGTAGAGAGAGCAGAGCTGTGGTGATAGCCCTCTCACCATTGCATTAGAGGTAAGCTTTTAATTTTTTGTTTTTATTACAGGAAGGGGGTGCTATGTACGTCTTTGATTCAAGTCTCCTCAGTCAGTCAAGACCTGGTCATTACGATCACTTATTAAATATTATAATATAAATATGAAAAATACTTTTTTCAGAAACACAGGGGCTTATGTATGGAATGTGAAAATAAGGTAATAGGGTGCGCCAAATGATAGAAAGAAGGGTTAAAAGGGGATAATGTACAGGTTAGATAATAAAACATACACATAAACATAAACAAACTAGAGAGGAGAATTGCGCCCTCCATCCCAGCAACAACTTGGTCCACAAGCAGTGCAGTGCAGCAGTTTTCCATCCATGTACATACAAACTTGTGGCAGGAGGCCTTTTGGATAACTGATCCTTTTGGGAAAGGTCACTGTGATGAATTGCACTTCGCCACTGGGTTTTGGAGAGGCCTGCTTGCCAGCCTCTTGCCCTGTGTATTGCCGTTTAAAAAGTATATTTGTGCATATTGGATTTTAAAGCACTGTTCCTGCCCCTTTAAATATTATTGGAAAAGATTTGCACTTTCGAAATGGCACTTCGGAAACAGCTGAAGTAGTCGAAGTGGCCACCAGCTATACTCTCCTGGAGGAGAGGTCCTTCCCTCAGCTATACCCTGCTGGAAGAGAGGTCCTTCCCCCACGGTCCTGGGTCCAGATGTTGGACCAGGGTGGGAAGGAGACAGCAAGACCCCAACCAAGCTACGGCGGTTTGTGAAGTCTGCAGTGGCTATGGTGTCTGGTGCAAGGCTGATGGTCCTTGATGAGCACAGGGAACATCGACTGGTGGAAGGTGCGTCACATTTGGTGGCAGCGATGGGATGGCTTTCTAGTGCGAGGAGCAGCATCCTGGAGACACCAAGCAAACATGACATATTACTATGAGGGCGATGCTTAATGGTGGAGGTAAAGAGGCAGCTAGCCTGGTATGGCCCAGATCCTCCGGAGGAGAGGATTGACCAAATCATGCAAGAGTTGTATGATGAGAACCGAGCAGCACGGCAATGTGCGCTCAAGTTGGGACTGTGGATATTCGATCCTCCTCCAAAGTGGCAGGGTGAGTTCCAGGGAGAGGAAACAACCGGTCTCTCTCCCCAGCAACAGTATGTCTTACAGGGAGAGGAGAGCAACGACCTCCCTCCCCAGTGGCAGGGTGAGTGTCAGGGAGAGGAGACAACCGGTCCGGCAGTGTACCTTGCAGGAAGAGGAGACAACCGGTCTCCCTCCCCGACAGCAACCAGAGGTACCCCAGGTAGCGGACCTAATAGACTCGTCCTGGGAGGACCCCCAAATGGCAGGTGGAGATGGGACCAAGGTCTCTCCACCGGCCCTAAAGGGATGCTGGGCAACCGGCCCAGATCCCCAGCTGCAGTTGGAGTTCCAGGGAGAGGAGGCAACCAGTCTCTCTACCCAGCGGCAGTGCATCTCACAGGGAGAGGAGGCAACCGGTCTCTCTCCCCAGCGGCAGATTGAGTTGTTAGGAGTGGAGACGGTCAGTCCCACTCCCCAGCGGCAGCAAGAGTACCAGGAGGAGGAGGTAAGCGATCCCTCCCCTCCACAGCCAACTCCGAACCAGGTACTGGGGTTTGTAGAGGAGATGTTAACTGCCACTGACCCCCTCCCAGCAGAAGCGCTGGCATCAGGGCAGATGCCCTCACTTTCCCCTTGCTACCGGGCAGAACTATTCTCCGGTCCCCCCAAGCAGAAGAGTGCCCTCTGCCCTCCCCTTTCCCCTTGTCCATCAGGGCAGAGTGCAGCTGGCCTCTGCCCTCCCCTTTCCCCTTGTCCAGGGCCTGGCTACCTGCAGGCTACCCCAGCAGAAGCGCTGGCAAACGGGCAGCGCACTGCTAGCCTCTGTCCTCCCTGTCCCCTTGTAACAGGGCAGGATTATGTACCTGTCTCCCCAGCAGAAGCGCTGGCATCAGGGCAGAGTGCAGCTTGCCTCTGCCCACCAAGTACCCACAGCTCCATGCCTAGGAACACTAGGGAGATCAAGGGTGCAGTAATTGTTTATTATGGGTGGGTTACTCGACTAACTCAGGCACTGACCGACAGAAAGTCAGGTACCTAGTTAATCTCCCCCGAAAAGATGTGTGATGAATTGCACTTCGCCACTGGGTTTTGGAGAGGCCTGCTTGCCAGACTATGGCCCCTGGGGTGTATTGTCGTTTAAAAACTCTATTTGTGCATATTGGATTTTAAAGCACTGTTCCTGCCCCTTTAAATATTATTGGAAAAGATTTGCACTTTCGAAATGGCACTTCGGAAACAGCCGAAGTGCCGAAGTAGTCGAAAGTGGCCGCCATTCGTGCATTCGAACGGAACTTAGTATGGAAAATAGACTGGTCACACAGCCTAAATCTGTGAAACTATTTTGGGCATGAAAGCCATGCTTGCAGTTGGACAAATGTGACTTCCACAAAACTTTTGAACCCCTGCTCTGATCTGGGTGATTTTTGGATATATTGTTCACCCAGATCACCCAGAGATATGTGGTGTTTTGGGGTGGTTTATGTGTTTTGTGAAAAAATTATATTTTCTGCCTGTGGATAATTAAGTTATTCCATTAGCTAGCTTAATTATATCACAGGCAGAGGGGAGGGCTTGCTGACTGTATGTGGGAGTGTTACTGTGTTAATTATTGTTCCTATTGGTTTGTGTCCCTTTTGTCCCTGTGTTCCATCAGGTCCAGGGGGTGTGCTTCTGGCCTGAAAATGTGCATAAAAGAAATGCCTTTGTGCTCAATAAACCAGACCTTCTTACCCTCAACTCGCAGCCTCGTCTCGTGTTGTAGGGAACAGCTATACCTGCTAGCTCTTGTAAGAGCTCTCTTCAGATATACAGCTATACTCTCCTAGAGGAGAGGTCCTTCCCCCACGGTCCTGGGTTCAGAGGTTGGACCAAGGTGGGAAGGAGACGGTGAGACCCCAACCAAGCTACGGTGGAGTCTGCGATGGCTATGGTGTCCGGTGCTGTACTGATGGTCCTTGGTAAGCGCTAGGAGCATCGATTGGCGGACGGTCCATCACAGTCACCAGACTAACACAGACTCAAACCGATGAGAGGACTGGGGTCTGGTTAGTCTCCCAAAGAGTGGGAAGATATGTGACAAACGCTCCTTCTCACAAACGTTTGCCACAAACTCCTGGAGGAGTGTGGAAGCTGGCCTCCTGCCCATCGACTATGGTCCAGATCTTAGACACAGTTCAGGAATTACCCTGCCAAGCCGCTATTAGCAGCTTTCCCTGGGTGCCCCTGGCTTGGCACTTTCCCTTCATTCGAATGGAACTGAACACAAGCTCCCTGGCGGCCATTCGCCCATGAAGGGTCCTCAGCTGTAGCCGCGACTACTATGGAACTAATTTCACCATGAGGACTTTGTGAGTCCCCGAGCACCTCAGCGGTACTTAGCTGCGAATAATAAGGAACTGTTTTCAGCATTAGGTTACCGTGCGGTTCTTGGACAACTTGGTCCAGAGTTTTTAATCAATTTGCAACCTGCCATGCCCACCATATATGTATGTCTCCTCCCAAAAGGACATGAACAGGTTGGCATAGCTAGGCGTGAACCTAGTCCCCATCCCTGTCACAGGTTTGTGCAAATGATAAGAATCCAAAAAATAATTGTTGTTGAGCATCAGATCAATACCTTCCACAATGAACTCCTGATGATCTGGAGTCACATCTGTAGTGGTCCATACCGATCTGGTGAGGGATGATAGAGTAGAGTGATAAGACATCCACGGTTACCAAAAAATTCCCATCCATCCACTCCACATACCCCAAGATCTGCAGAATATGTCCTGTATCTCTCAGATATGCTTTAGTACTCTTGACGATAGGTTGAAGAAACTGGTCAATGTATTCCGACAAGGGGGCAGATATCCTATCCCCAAGATGATGGGTCTCCCTGGTGGTCTCGTTTCATGTTTATGAATGTTCGGTAAGAAGTAATAGAACGGTATCTTTGGACCTGTATGAAATTCTGGGAATAATGGGAGTTTGAGGAAAATTATAAATAAGTATTGGTTTGTTTTATCATGAGATCCTCTCTTGAATGAGATAGTTCCCAAAAGACCCAGAATCATCTATAGAGGGGTACCA